TTTCAAAAAGATATTTCACGGTACTCACATGTTCACCGACTGGCTTGAGTTCGCTTCAGATTTCTCGAGGTTTCTTTAAAATGCAATATCTCACATAACAAGAGAAACCAAGCATTAAAGTTCCTCGAAATTAGTAAAACAGGTTATTTAGCGTTGACAGAGCAGAGGAAACCAAAACGAAAACTCACGTTTTCAGACAACGCGAAATGAGCTTCACTCACGTCGGGCCCGAACGCAGAACATCAACCTGTTTCCCGCCAGTCATGCGCAGTGGGCCTTTTGGGTTTTCCCTGATCTTATGGGGTTCCCGTTGCCATCCGTGTTGTCGTTGCTTAAAGTCCCTGTTGCCTGCTCAGAAACTTTTGGCAGGAAACAGTTTTATTGTTAAATACCATGTGACCTCAAAGTAGCTGATTAGAGCTTATGTTGCTGGGGAAAAGTTCCAGCTCTATTTAACAATGCGAGCTGACAACCCTTACATTAAAAATACTGTAGTTGCAACCTTCTTTGGGACAATTGTAGTTGCAAGAACTTTGAGACAGTTCGACGTAAATGTTGCTCATAAACCCGTCAAGACGGTTGGTTTGATCCTGAAGAAACCGAAGGACAAATTCGATCAACACCTGTCAACTGGTGTTGTGTATAAAATCAATTGTGAAAACTGTGAAAAACTTTAAATCGGTCAAACATCCAGAGCACTGAGATCCAGAACAAAAGAACATAAAAGAGCCATCCTCACATGTGACAAGAACTCTCTTTTGGCGCAACACTGTATGAAAAACAACCACGAATTTGATTTTAACAATGTCAAGGTCATAGACTGCTGTCCCTTGTGGTCACGTAGATTGTTCTTGGAAGTGTGGCATTCCATTCGCGAACCGAACTCAATTAATGACCACGCGCATATTCCAGACATTTACAAAATGCTAAATTAATCTCTAGCGAGTTCCTCACATTCTTATAAACATCTCATTTACATTTAGACGCCATTAACATTCATTTCATCACTGAAGGTTATAGTATTTTAGCCAAAACATCTATTTTAAGATTTTTAAGTCAGTGACAACAACTTTTAAGATTTTTTTTTTTACCCTGTACATTACATTAGTTTCACTTGTTTTTGTTTGTTTCCAACACACAGTTTTCGTTTCTTTTTGTTTAAACAGGTTTTTCTGATTTGTCCTTCCACAGTGGAATTTCATCATCCAACTTTTAAAATCTTGAAACAATTTCAGCCTCACCTTAGCATGGAAGACCCCCCTGACTTGAGCAGTCTTTTTAGCTCAGACCAAAAGAAAACTGTTACATGCACAAGCAGTCGTTATGGGGGTAGATACCAAGATCCAGCATCTCACCATGAACACTGTAGAAAAGAGACTGAGGTAACCAAAGACACCAAATGGCCTACCTGGGAGAATGTCAGTAGCTGGATTAAATCTGAACTTGCCCTGAATCTTTACCAATATGTCCATACTAATACTTAACCAACTGTACCCAGAAGCAAATATATAACTTCTGCTGCAAGCAAATCCCATTACAGTGCTTGTATGAATAATCTTTGTAATTATCACTTGTCTAACAATAATTCATACCAGTGGTAAGATTTGGTTACAATATTTGAACCTTCCTGAGAGTGGCCACCCAGGAATAGAATTTACACTTGTTTTTTAAAATACAGAATAATTCTCAAAGGTTCTCCATCACTGTGAATGTGCCCTGTTCAGCTTTATTGCCCATCTGTGAAAAATTCTACTGAGAACCCAATACATACATGTACATGTAAGCAGAAACAACTTGGCAAATTGACAAGTTTATTAGAACAGTACAGGGTGTTTAATACCCAAAGACAATAAATTAATAAATATTTTGTAAACACTGTTTGCACTATTTACAGAGTTCAAATTTACAAACATTACTTCACCTGAGACACTCTTATTTTGTATTTAGCTTCCTTTGTAACCATGGTCTAGTCTTGTCAAGCACACATGACAAGTATATTCACTAAAAAAGGGTGTTGCATGATGAAAACAGAGGATGAATGCAAGAAAAGATACATAAATGTTACTTTTCTATAGTTTGCAACTTGTCAGCTCAATAAATCGATGTATCAGTGGAAAAGAACTGAAACTTCAGTCCCACAAAACTCAATGAATATCGTCTTGTAACACTGCAACTGCTGTGACATGACTGATGAGAATAATACTATATAAGGGCATAAAGGAGACTAAGAAGAAGTTATTCTGAATTTAGTGTGTGAAAAATTCTAGTCTGTAATAAAACAAAAATAACAAAATGACAAAGAAAAACAAAATTACAACTCGAGAAAAATATCTGCATTTCTTTTTTTTTGTGAAAATCTTTAAAATGTTTACTAACAAGCTGAATATTAATTTTTACCCATTTGAATTAAAAAAAGCTAAACAAATTCATTGCTAAAAATACCCAAAAGAAGTGCCTTGCTCGATAGCCATCTCACTGCTTGCAGCACAGAGTGATCATGCTCAGACAAAATAGACTTTTCTACAAAAATCCCACTCAACTTGCAGCAGTAGGCCACACTAATCCTCTAGCTACATGTACATGCAGCTCACAACATTGAAGGTACACACAAAGTGAAGTGTCNAAAGACAATAAATTAATAAATATTTTGTAAACACTGTTTGCACTATTTACAGAGTTCAAATTTACAAACAGTACTTCACCTGAGACACTCTTACTTTTTATTTAGTTTCCTTTGCAACCATGGTTTAGTCTTGTCAAGCACACGTGAAAAGTATATTCACTTAAAAAGGGTGTTGCATGATGAAGGATGAATGCAAGAGAAGATACATAAGTGTTACTTTTCTACAGTTTGCAACTTGTCAGCACAATAAATCAATGTATCAGTGGAAAATAACTGAAAGTTAACCTGCAAAACTCGATGAATATCGTCTTGTAACACTCCACTGCTGTGACATGACTGATGAGAATAATACTATGTAAGGGCATAAAGGAGACTAAGAAGAAGTTATTCTGAATTTAGTCTGTGAAAAATTCTAGTCTGTAATAAAACAAAAGTAACAATTGAAAATAACAAAGAAAAGCAAAATTACAACTCAACGAAAATATCTGCATGCCTTTTTTTCGTGAAAGTCTTTAGAATGTTACTAACAAGCTGAATATTAATTTTTACCCATTTGAGTTAAAAAAATGCCAAACAAATTCATTGCTAAAAACACCCAAAAGAAGTGCTTTGCACGATAGCCATCTCACTTCTTGCAGCACAGAGTGACCATGTTAAGACACAATAGACTTTTCTACTGAAATCCCACTTAACTTGCAGCAGTAGGCCACAATAGGCCTCTAGCTACATGTACATGCAGCTCATAACATTGAATGTGCACACAAAGTGAAGTGTCTAAACTTTGTTAAATGGATTAAAGGGGCGAGTAAGGGTCACCATCTTTGACATTGGTCCTTTATGTCTGAATGGGGATAGCTGAACTTTTGTTGGCACTTTGAGTTCTCTGCAAGAAATAACCAAGAAATTTAAAATAAAATTGGGTTACAGGATTTTTGATTTATTAATAACTTAATTTGGCTGTATTGCTACAATAATTGTAGCTACACAAGCACAAGAAAATAGACAGAGGGTATCACTCCTGAATCAGAATAATTACAAACTACTGTAGTTCCTGTATTGCAAACAAAGTAAGATTTTCCCTTAGACCTTCAATCTGAAGCACCTCCTTGGTATCGCAATCACCAATCACAAGGAAGAGATGATTGAAAACAAAATAAACACCCAGAACAAAGCATAATTATACTTTCTGTTGAAAAAAAAGTTGTACGCTTGTTTTGGAATGCCTGAATAACTAGAGAAAAGATTTACTTTGACCAATTTCCTTGTACATCATCCTCAAAATGATCTGACAACCTTACACAAGAACCATACTTTCTTTTTATACCTGCCAAACATCTCATGTATGTGTTAACAAATGTTATTTTGCAATGCACAACCAAATTTTACAGTGTCGAACCTAAGTAAACCATATGGTCACAGTAGGTGAATCGTGTACCAAATAGTCTCTGACGCCAATTCAGAACTGCTAGAAAAATTCACTGAAAAACAGAAAGATAAAATTGAATACATAAAGTTTTCTAATTACTTAGTAATTAGAAAACTTTATGTATTCAATTTTATCTTTCTTTTTTTCAGTGACTTTTTCTAGTCAAATATTATGAATTTTCAATCCTTGAACAAATGTGAATCCCATTTAACAATACCTGTGTATTCTAGCAGTTGTACATGCTTTAGGCTGTGGCTCTTTACTGTGGCTAGGATGATGAGCTGAGAACAACACACAGCCAGCGTATCCGGGAATATTACCACGCCTAAAAATATACAGTAATAATAAATATAGCAGGCGACTCTGCAAATAGATACAAGTTAACTGAATAGAATCCTACACAGTCTACACAACGAGATTTAATTGCCAACTGCTGCAACTTCTGAAACTAGTTTACATGTCTGACTTGTCTGTTGTATGCAACACACTGAGAAATAATTGCTACACTAACTTGGACCTGTTTGATAAATTATCAGTTTCTAAGATTTGGACATCTAGCATTAAGTTTTCATCAAAGATTCCTAGAAGTAAAAGGCCACTCAGATTTCTTTTACAGGCGTGCACATTCAAGCACTGAACATACTTTGCCGTGTCTGTATATCTAGGCTGTGAAGTCCGCACAACAGCAATTGGAGTAAATGTTTTTCTTGGGTGGTCTCTCTCTCCAAAGCCAGGAGCATGCCCACTAGAGAGATCAGACAACACATTTTTTTAAAAAATTAATAAGTTGTACACATCATGCATGGTACATCTTGAAATGAAAACAGTCAAATAAAATGATTCCTTCCACACGATTGTTTCCATAACGTTTCAAAGCGTCATGTAAACACATGAGTGCATCATAGAACATTTTTGGTAAAAGGCAGGGCACAGGAGGAGTGGGGTGTATGGAATGTTCAGGCCAAGGGGTGTGAATAAATTATACATTTAGAGCATTTTTACTTGTGTGGCCAGCAGCTAAAGAGATTTATTGGAGCAATAGAAAGTGTTTAGTACATACACAGTAAGGAAAGAGTTGAACTACCACTTGATGAGTTTGGGACACCAACATGGCCACTGTGCAATTTTTTGGGGATGCCAATATGGCTCCTGTGACGTCATTTGAAGACACTCAATTAGTAGGCATCATAAGAACCTCACACAAGAAGCAACTGAGCCCAGACATTTTAGTCACTATAATCCAACAAACCTGTATCCTGGTATGTGTCCTGTCTTTTTGCTTGGACTGCAGCTGTACAAATTCAGATAAATCAACAATAATTATTACTGCTTAATTCTCATGCGAAAAGTTACATGTATGTGTATCTCTCCTTAGAATAACTAGCACTTTAAGATATTCTTTTAACTACAGGTTGTACATAACGTTATTACCCATCTGTACTAGTTAATCAGAGTCAAGCTCTTTTTGACTTACTAATAAGATGGTTGTGTAAATTGAACATTTCAGTCAGTAATAATCAGACTGGGCTATTTCTGAGGATATAAAATAACAAAAAAATTTCAGTAACTTACAAATCAATGGGTCCATGAACATGATTTCCATTCCGTGACTGAACAAAATCCCAGCTATGTGGTCTACTGCCCATTTGCTGTTCAAAAATAATTAATTATAATTTTATTAAAAAAATTAATTCTTAATTTATCACACCTTTGACTGAGTGCTGTACAATTCACATGTCAGTCATGCATGAATAATATTAAATTAAATTAAATTGTTAAGTGTGTGGTGATGGTCCTCAAAGACTATTTAACTTTTAGCAAGAATTTCCAGAGGGTGGGAGATAAAAGACATGCAAAAAAAAAAAAGAAACCCTCTGTGGGGGGACTATGGATGGTTTCTGGAGAACCATGTTTGTCTGGGAATAAAGGATTGGCAAAATAATTTTGCAAGTCCAATCCCACAATAATTTTTGTGATAAAAGAGAAAAGATTGGCTGACAAAAGAGAAAGGTCGGTGGTAGTATGGGAGAGAAAACAAAATTCTGTTGAAATATGCCAAAAATTGTTTCCATCATTAATGGGTTACAAACTTGGGAAGAACTTTTTTTCTGTTTAGCACTTTTATTTTAAATACCTGCCAAAGTTCAGGCCTGGGAGCATATCTTTTGGTAGCAAATCTGTAAGACACCATATCAGGTTGAGGCTCAACCGTGGTGCTTGGTGGCGGCACAGAGGGTGGAATTCTTGAGCTCCAATCGACTCCACTGTATAACCTTAATTAATAAAGTGAACAAAAAAAAATGATATGCAAATGATATGTGACTTTTAAATAGTTCAAAGAGCTTCTGAAACTACATGGAATTTCCAGCAGATGGCAAGGGAGGGATTCAAACCATGAGAATCTTCTGGACTAGAGTGATATGGTCGACATATATATGTATATATAGTACAGTATGTGCTTGAATTTTCTAAATGTTATTATACCGGTACATTTCTAAAAACATTTAATATATGCATGTAACTGTGATAAATAAACAAAACTATTCTAAATGCATACTTTTGTGTTTCTGATGTATAGAATGCTCTAGTTGCCACTGCATCTCTCCATTCTTTGTTCTTCAGCAGTTCACTGGTTGGAACCTAAGGGGATTTACGAAATATATGGCAGTTGACAACAACTTTATTTGCATATGCAGGACCCAGATGTACATGTAAGGTTAAAAATTAAAACTCATTAATAATGGAAATAATTAACAAAAAATATATATTTTAAAGTACAGCAAACCTTTTGTGAAAGTTCCTTTGCTTCTTTGGATCCAGGAAATTGACTTGGGTTTTGCAAAAGTTGCTCCAGTTCTGCAAAAATAAATATTAAATAAATAAACTTTATAATTAAAATAAATCCAATGATTTTTTTTTAAATACAATTACATATAGTTTACATAAAGGTAGTGTAGTCCTGATTCAATTAAAGTTTTGCTTAATCATAGAAAAGACTGATAAATCGAGGAAGAAACTGAAGACAGCGTGACAATATGCAGCATTCTTTCGTCACGCATCAGTAACGCGACCACAAAAAGTTGAAAACTCGATCATAGTTAGCTATGAATCGATCTTCTGTTCTTTCTACACGGAAGGTACTTTCCTTACCCCCTTAGAATAACAAATTAAAGGTGAATAACGAGATCATTGTACTAATTAGCGCCATTTATCACTCTTTCTCTCTACAAGCAAGCTCTAATTGCACTAAAATCAGAAAAATGCCCGTGATCGCAGAGCACGCACAAAGCTTCAACGAGATGTCAGCTTATTAACTTACCTATATTTTTTGTCTCCCATGGCGCGTTTTGAGCCCTTAAGTCCGGAATGGGTGAAACAATTGGTCTACCATACGGTATAGCTGACTGTGGACGATGATCTTTGTTCACAAGAGGTTCTATTTGTTTGTAATTTCCGTCTTCGGCATCAGCGCCGACCGAGGTGAAACCACTTGTTGGGTCTACGACCGGAGTGTCGCTTCGCCTCGGAGCCTCCGCTCGGCGTTCTCCCCTTTCGGCAAATCTACGAAAGAACGCTTCATCTTTTTCTTGAAACGACGGTATGTCGTAAGTGGTGAACGTGGCCGGAAACTTCCCAGATGCTTGCTGGCGACGAAATCGTTGTTCCAAAGCGATGGGGTCTTCGGATAGGTGAAGACGAAATGTGCCGAATGGCGGTTTTGGAAGGGATGCGTTAACAGCCGTTGCCATCTTGTCAAAAGCAAACAAGTCTCTTTAGCCCTTGTGATACATATCTACCAGTTGATTGTTGTAAAGAATATCACTGAAAGTTTATGATATTGATGAAGAATCGTAATTTGTAATGATACTGTTCTGGAACGCGATCGCTGGTCGTCAACATGCGGTTGCTAAGGAAGGTGATATCGCGGGCTCAGCCTTGCGGGATTAGTGGTGATTTCCGCCCCT